GGGGGGGGGTTATCAAGACAGCTGCAATCTCTGCAGATTTTGCATGATGCATCATGTCATACAAATTTAATCTTCGCAATCCTGGAAACTTCAACAATGCAGCGTTCCAACTACCATTTCATTCTTCTGTTCAACTTGGATACTTCAACTCCACTTTTCCATGCCTAACTTGAAGGAGAGCGTTGAAGATAAGATCCCATGATTCATGGGACAACCAAATGAATTTTAAATTCATGTTATATTTTAATCCCAAACTACTGCAGGATTTGGTTGTAGCTTCACTGTAACTCATGTATACTAGACACCAAGAATCAATTAGAAAATGTAGCTTTTTTGGGCATTACATATGTGGATGACGTGCCGAACCATGTTAACTCTCATTTTTTTTCATCTCCCCTTTATTGGTTATTTTCTGTTATCTTTGACTCTCATCAAATCATTACTCATGCTTATGATTTCAAATTGACCAGTCCATGAGTAAGTTGTGTTGTGCAACAAGCTTAATCCTAAGCATATATCCTTCCAGGTAACATCCCCATATGGAAACACTCTCCATAACAAGGAGAATGTGACCGATGGTCAATTTGCCTTTACAACTACCGAGGCCGGCAACTACTTGGCATGTTTCTGGGTAGATAGCAATCATCAAGGAGGTTCTGACATAACTGTTAGTCTTGACTGGAGAATTGGAATTGCTGCAAAGGATTGGGAATCAGTTGCAAGGAAAGATAAGATTGAGGTAATTACTTTAATTTCTCTCTCTCTCTCTCTCTCTCTCTCCAATGGAACTTGAGCTCTCGTTACGTTTCCCTTTCCCATTTTTCTGTTTGACAACACACTTGTGACTTGTGCTTGTATAGGGTGTTGAACTTGAGTTGAGGAAACTTGAAGGAGCAGTGGAAGCTATCCATCAAAATTTAATATATCTTAAAACTAGGTTGGTTTTAGTTTTTTTTCATTAGAAGTCTTCTTTGATTCAGTTTGCTCCTTTTCTGTCGCGTTTTGATTTCCTTTTTCTTTGTCTGTTTCTTCTCCTTACTTTTTGTGTGTTTTCCACATAATTTCATAATTCTTTCCTTAATTGCCTGTGGTGTGGTCAAAGTTTTTGTTATAAAACTGACTTGTCATTTTTTCTTGGATTCACACAGGGAAGCAGAGATGAGGGAAGTGAGTGAAAAAACCAATGGCCGAGTGGCATGGCTCAGTATCATGTCCCTTGGCAGCTGCATCGTGGTTTCAGTTTTGCAATTGTGGCATTTGAAGCGCTTCTTCCGGAAGAAAAAGCTCATTTAGACTTTATCACAATCTTATAAGATTGAAACAGACGCAGCATTATGCCGTTGTTGTACCATAGTATTCCTCCCTCCCCCCTCCTAAAAAAAAAAGGAAAAAAAACACCTGTGGATGGGTGCAAGTTGTTTCTTTGACGATCAGAATTTAAGATCTCCAAACAATGTGTGCTGGGAACACAAATCAGAGATTGTTTTGAAGACATAATCACTACATTTATAATTCTGTTTTCTGATCACAGATTTTGATGCAAAGGAACTTTTGTATTGCCATTTGGATCCCAATTTTTTATTCAATAGCCAGCTGAAAGTCTATTATGCTGGTGATGGCTGATCAGCTAACCTCTCTTCTTTTTCTCTGTTAGGGATGGGCATATGAGTGATAATCTAGTTCAGATCCCTGGGTAAGGTTATCTAGTAAGACCCAATTAGCTTTTTTATATTTTCCGTATCTTAATGCCTTATTAAATTTTTATGACTTTGGTGATCCTGGGAATTGGTGGCCTCAATCCAAGTGATCCCGGGTGGTGTTGGTGAGTATTGGTTGTGGTGTTTTTAGGGCCATAATAGTGCACAGGTTGAGGGAAAGAAAGGAGAGAGTATCGCTCTACCCATCCTCTTTTTCCTTTTAAGTTCTAAATTCCATGTATTTAGGTACGATTACCTCTCTTTTGACCCTACTTAATCTTCGTGTGATGTGTCTATCGATCCTATACGATCAACACGTGTATATGACCCAAAAAAAACAAAAAAAAGAAATCACACTACCAAACCCGCCACGTCTTCCTACTGCAACACTAGCAATTGAATAAATATTATAAACATCCAAAACAGAAGAAAGTGCATGGCAATTTTCCATACGTTGGCTGTCCAGTATAGAAGTTACCCAATAATCCCCAATTGTCCAGTGAAACAAACCCCCCCCCCCCTTTTTTTTTCTCTTCCCTCCCCCCAATAAGGACAATCTTTTTTGCTTTTTTTTTTTTTTGGTTCATGGTGGGGTGCACCAACCCCTTGAAGTAGTGTAACGCATGGGCGACACCAGAAGGACACAATAGCAAGCTATTGTGGTGGACTCTCCCCCTAGAAAAACTAAATATCATTTGACAAAATGTCTCACGTATCTGATATTAAATTCATAAAACCAGATAGCGAGCATAATTATCCCTAAGAATCTTATAAAGAAAATGACAAACTAATATTAGCTTGAATTGCAGCCCTAGCTTTTTTGCTTTGAAGAGGGTACAAGTTTGAATGGTAAAAAGGAATAGAATGGAACCAGTGGCAAAAGAGTAAGACATTTCACTCAATCAGTCATTCAAGTAGGAAATGAAGAATGTAAACATATTATATTCACACTTCACACTCAATATATCCCCTGAAAAAAGAAGCATATGGTACACTTGCACTTGAGTGACATTGTACAATAATATCTTACTGACTCAACGCAGCGGCTATCTTCTTTTGGATGAGCTCAACTCCAAGTCGAGGAGATAATCTAGGAAGTGTCTCCTGCGATGGAGACAAGAAATCGTGTGAGATTTCCCCTTTATAAAGCAACCTCTACATATGCAAAATCAAAGACCAGATTGATGGAGGATGCCCCCAGAAGTACTTCAACAGTAAATTTAAGCTTTATAGCATCAAAATCTGGACAAAATGAACAAGTAAATGCATTTGAATATGTACTAGTGAATGCCTGTGCATGAAGACACTATGTAACACAAAAAAAGTTACCAACTAGAATAACTATTATCTACAAATACTCATCTACAGAGAGGGGGCATATAATGTAATAAATTCATTGTGGGGTTGTGTGTTTGTGGGTGGGAGGGGCCGGGGGATAGGGCCTAATGCCTAATTTCTTATCAAATTACATTAAAAAGTAAAATAACCAAGTTTGCATAATATTTGTAGACTACATATGGTGGCTGCAACCACTTAAGGAAAAAGAATTTAACTCCAAAATTTGAGCCCCATGAGGTCTAAATCTTCCAAGGATCCTATGATCTACATCGCGCCTGGTATGGTGACATAGATAGAAAGGATTTGAAAATATTTCCTCTCCCCATAATTAGCCAAACTCTTTGGCTCCAAAGTCAAAAAATCTGGAAATCTAGTAAATATCCCTCTTTTTTCAGTCAAAAAAATCGCTCCCATTAGAATTTGAAAAATAAATCTACTTGAATTCATCCTCTTCGACGTCCAGACACAGAACAAACAAAAACACACATGCAGCCACAGAGGGAATCACCTCTATTTTTATGAAGTAGAACAGCTCACTTGAACTAACAAAAAAAGTCACCCAATTCAAAAACAAAGACCCAAACTCAAAACTCCATAACCCTTCCAACAATAAGATGAAGTAAGATCCTCTTAACTCCTAATAAGAAATCATGCATCTTTCTCAAAGTATTTCCATGATGTTTACATATACAACAGAAATAATAATTCTCCCATGGACCTCTACAACATTGGCACCACGACTACAGTCACAAAACCCACAACAAATCTAGAGTATTATTTTAAAAGTAATATTGAAAGATAATTCATACAAAATCAATCAATATCTCAAAAATCAAAAACCTGGAAAGGAAAAGGGTAGGAGAAATTTAGAGAGAGGAAGTACTGGGAAAGGGCGATTCAATCAATGACCCATAAGAAGAGAAACACATACCCCCTTGTCGTCTCAAGTGATTTCAACAGCAAGCCAGCAAGTGAGCGGACGAGTCTATAGCCTTTGGACTTGGTAGTGATTGGGCGAGGCGGCAGTTGTGCCGATCTAAGCTGGAGGTAGAGCAGACTCGGGGGCTAAGAAGAGGTGGGATGGGTATTCACTGCCTTAGTGGGAAAAATTTTTTTTTTTTTTTTTTTTGGGGGGGGGGAGAGAGAGAGAACAGGTAGGAGAAGAAGAGAGGCAAAGGTGGGTGGGAGAAGAAAAGAGAGAATGACGAGGAACGAGAGAGGGGCGCAATGCCAAGGCAGAGAAGGAGAATGATGAGGGAGGAGAGATAACACAGATAGGTAGGACTGGATACTTGCATAAGAGGTGGAATGTGTAAACTTTTTGCAAAAAGAATTTTTGGGCAGGATATTTTGCAGTGGGTGGGAAAATGAAAGTTCGGGTTCAATTTTGGAGTGATCTGAACCATTTTTATAATTTTGAGATAGGCAATTCAAAAGCCATACTATTTTATCCCATATCCCCTCCAACAGTTAAAATACGGAGGGAGATTGAAAAAGGGATAAGGGGTTTTGCGTTTGCATATAGTTCATAAAGTGAGAATTTAGAATCTCACTAATAAAATACTTTCTTTTTTTTTTTTCCTCTTTTATACCACATTTTTGCATTTTTTTTGTCCTCCAATTATGTATAACATACAGACAAAGATAGAACAAGCATCTGAAAAATACTATAATGACTAGAAGGAAATCATCAAATATGATTCATGAAACTATATGTTGGCAAAAAAAAAAGAATGGAGACAAGGGTACTGTATTCAAAAACAGAGTATTGCCATGAAGATGTAAAACATGTTATTACTAACGACAATGAAGAATCTTTTCTTTGTGCTGTACATAGAGGAGGTATTGATGTACAATGAAAAAGTGTGATAGTAATGAATCAATTAACAATTAAACCTAGAAGCAAACATAACTTACATTCTTTTCTCGCCATCCTTGTCAAAAATAATGACAAAAAAGACTGGATGTGAGATGTCTAAAATTACACCCTCTGCATATAAACTTTGAGCAATCAGCCAAGTATCAATGATTTAGTGTTTGGCCATTTGTTGAATGCACCAATTTAATTACTTTAACGTCACTGCTTGCTTAGATCTTGCTTTGAGGTTCTTGCTGGCAAAGATATAACTAGAGCATAGTCCAAACAATGCTAAGCCTTTGATTACAAAAGTGTTCATTCAAATGCAAATCATGATTGCTTTCACATGCCTATAGATACAAATAATTATTTGCTCTGATTCTGAACCCTTGTTTGTAGGTATTAGGATAGTATGTGTAAATATTATTGTAAGTTAACTACAAATACAAGGGATGTGTGAGAGGAAGGTTAAGTTTTGACCCATCTCTGTTTCTCTCTAATATTGTGTTAATTCTCTCAACTTAACATGGTATCAGAGTAATTACGATCCTAAATAAATTAAAAAAAAATAATTTTGAGGTTACTGAGTTTGGTTATGGTGCTGCCGTCGAACCCATCATGGTGGTGGAAACCCTTGTGGTGGCCTCTGTGGACGTTGGTGGTTTCTGTGTTGTCTAGTGTTGTGGTGTCGTTTGTGGTGGTGGCGTGGTGTTGTTGTTGTGGTGGCCTCTGTGGTGTTGACGATTGTGGTGGTGTCGATTGTGGCATTGTTGATTGTGGGTTGTGGAGTTGTTGTCGTCGTCGATTGTGGCACTGTCGTTTGTCGTCGTGGAGGTGCTGTCGTTCGTGTTGGTGGTGGAGTGGTGTCGTTTGTCATGGTGGTGTAGCTGTTAGGTGTCGCCGTTGAAGACCAGGTCTTCTGAAACCCTAATCAACGAGGAAGACAAGATCTAGACCCGACTCCACGGGTTTGGATACCGGACCCAAACTTGCACCCGAGTCCACGGGTTTAAATTATTTCAAGCCCAGCCCAAGAGCCAGACCTGATCCAGCCCAATTCAATCTTTGGTCTAACCCAGACCAGACCTGATCCAGCCTAGATCATTCCATCCTAGATAGGTTCAATCACGATTTGATCCCGATTCAAGTTTTATCGGTTCAAACCTATTCCTTCAGGTGCTGCTCTGGTTTAGCGGTCCAGTTGGTTTCTTCAGTCCAATTCAACTATTTTTTGCACCGATTTAATCAGTTTCTACTCCGGTTCATCAATCCAGCGAGCCCAGGCTGTCTAGTTCAACGGTCCAGCTTGGTTCTCCAGCCTGATTCAGCCTTCCAACAGCCTCTTCTTCTCTGATGCAGCGGTCCAATAGCTGATCTGTGTCCTGTTCAGCTATCAACCC